GTAGTATTTACTGATGACCACGTTTCGAGCAAAATTTATTTACACTGCTCATAATCCCAATATCAAGGCACTACTCACACAACTTTCTGACTTCATTTATATAATTCCATTATTTCAACTCATCGCTTGACTTGATTTGTAATAGTATCTTCCATATTCCCGGTATGAGTGATGAGTCATTGTATCCTATTGCAAGTATTCGGTGTCGACCCGATGAACAAGGATTCAGTAATCAATCTTTACAGATGACGGATGGGATGAACTGAAGTCTAAATATCTATTAAAATGAACAAGGAGAATTAGCTCTGATGTTAGATTGTAGAATAAAACAGAAGGAAGAGGGCAAACTGTAAACTAGCGTTTATAAAACACCAAAGCATTCTGCTAATAGATATTTAGACTTCAATTCATTGTATCTGTTGTCTGTTAAGGCAGGCTTAGTTAAGGGTCTAACAAACCGAGCAACATCATTACTAAGTAGTACATCAAAAAACCTAAACGATGAAATGAAACAGATAGAAGAAGAAGCATTGCTGTTAAATGACTACCCTATAAAATTCATTAAGAAGATCAGAAAAGGTCATAAGCAAAATGAAAATAATAGCGAAACTAATAATGATAACATAACATAAATAAGAAAGAATATAGGTCATCTACAGTAGTAGTTTTTTCATATAAGGAGGGGACATCTGAAACCCTATGTAGTAGTAGGATTCTTAATAAAGCAGGAATTAGAGTGGTGGCATTTAAACCTAAAAACTCACTCAGGTAGGACACGCTCTGTAGGCTAAAGGATCCTGTCGGTTGACCCAATTAAACGAAATAATATAATTTACAAAATAGCTTACAATGACTGTGAGCGGGGTCAGCTACATAGGTCAAACTAGTAGATCGGGGGTAGTCAGATTGTCAGAACATAAGAATTTATCTAAGATAGGAATCGGTGACCCCGAGAAGATAAGTAATTTAGAAAAAAGCTCAGCGATTGCACTTTACGCATTAACAAACAACCACACAATAGAGGAGAGGTAGAGGAAAGTTAAAATTCTAAAACGTTATGTAGGTAGGTGGAGGGAGAGGTTGATTATTGAATCTTTGTTCATCGAGTCTACACCCAACACGTGCAGTAGGATGCAATGACTCATCACTCATACCGGGAATGTGGAAGATACTACTACCAATCAAGTCAAGTGGTGAATTGAAATAGTGATAGAATTATATAAACGAAGTTAGAAAGTTGTGTGAGTAGTGCCTTGATATGAGTATGAGCAATAATTTGTGCTCGAAACGTTGTCATCAGCAAATATTACTGTATAACAACACTGTGAGACTTTATCAAAATAAACTTTACCCACAATAGAATTATATACTCTACCGCCACAGTGCACAAGTTCTATTCTTATATTCATGTTTCATTATCGTGGAAAATACCCATCGGGACATTAGAGGGAAAAGGACAAGAAGTTCAGCAAAGATATCTTTTCGGCGATTTCATTATCAAAAGCTGTACAACAGTATTTATATACATTAGTTTACATGGATACAATTATTATTTATTTTATTCCACATAGTAACGAAGGAGATAATAATTTTCAACTTGATATGAAAGTTTGAAGGTACGAATATAGATTACAAGGGGCTTAGAGACAAGATTACACAGGATTAGAAAACAGTTACAACGTATGCAAAATTAATATTTGATAACTGGAAAAATAATTTTAAAGTCGAATAAAAGGTGACAATTATTTTCAACTTGATATGAATTACAAGAGGCTTAGAAACAAAAATTTTTAATATATTTATGCGTTGAAGTTTCTGTAGCAATTTGGTTAAGTTGTGGGGTTGGAGTTACTAGCATCACGCCCCAACCCTCCCTCATTTTTCGGGCTTGGGACCGGCTAGAAAACTAGCGAGCTAGTAATCTAGGTGAGGCGCAACAACAACAGTAGCAACATCCAGCGCCAATCACCATCAACGGGAGGGATTTGAAAGAGGTCACTTCACTCACTTATGTAGGGAGAATTGTCTCAACTACAGGAGGAACGGACGAGGATGTCAAATCGAGACGAGAATCGGGAAGGCGAGAAACACATTCATCAACCTGAAACCAATCTGGAAATCTTCGATACTCAGCCTGCATCAACAGCAAAATTCGGATTTTCAATACAAACATCAAGTCAGTGAGTTCTTCTATACGGATGGATCAGAAACTTGGCGGGTCACAAAGAATTTTTCCAACAGCCTGTTGCAGACCTTTATCAACAACTGTCTTCGTTCTGTACTGAAGATCAGATGGCCGGAAAGAATCATCAACGAGAAACTATGGGAACAAACAAAACAAGAACAAAACAATCGCCCAACAAATATGCAGGAGAAAGTGGAGATGGATTGGACACTCACTGAGGAGGCCGCTGGGTGACATCGCGCGTCAGGCCAACGCTCGAGTGGAACTCGAAATGGAAGCGGCGAGTGGGACGTCCAAGGGTGACATGGAGGAGATCGTGTGAAGAGGAGTTGAAACAGTATGGACTAACATAGATACAGGTGAAAAGTACAGCGGAAGACAGAAGCAAGTGGAGGCGTGCAGTTGAAGCCCTATGTTCCACTAGGAACCCAAGGGAACAACAATAATAATAATAGAAACAAAAATTACGCAGGGATAGAACGAATTACAGGTGTGAACAAAATCAGCATGGAGGCAAATTGAAATCAAATTTTTTTAACTTGAAATGTAAGTTAGGAGGTGTGATTATAGATTAAAAGAGGAATAGAAGCAAAAGATTACACAGAATTACAATATAATTGTAAAATAGTTATTATAAACGGATCACAAGTGTGATCAGGAGGAGCATGGAAAGAAATTTAAAATAACTGACTTTATAACTGAAAAAAAATGGTATGAACTGAATGAAGACAAAGAGAGAAAAATACACACACATAGAGCGCAAAACAAACAAAAAAATAAATGGAGGGTAAGGGAACATACCGAACTAGGTCCATGGTAGTTGTAAAGGCTGGATTAGTTCCTTATGAACACACAGCTCCGGCTTTTCGATCCATATGGTGAGAGCTTCTGCTGTGTAAAGAAGTCAGAAACACACTGCCTTTGGTAGATTTTTGTTTACGTTGTAAATGACTCTAAATGTTGAGTCAATTGAGATGCTGTGGCAGGTATTGACGAGGTGTTCGGTTATTGCGCTTCTGACTGAACCAGTACCTTCTCTTCGCAGCCATGCTGGATGATGTTCTCTAACACGTTTTGATAAGACCCGCATAGAATGACCTATTTACCTAGTTCCTCACGAGTAGGTAAACTGATATATGCACTCTGAAATGGTCATATGCGGAAGTCTGTCCTTCCCGTTGCTCCAAATTAGTGGGATGTTAGAGAATATCACTCTTAGAGTTGCTGCCGGAAAAGTCTTCTTCAGGAAACTGGAGATTCCCCTTTTAAGGATATCTTCTGCTAGGTCTCCCCTGAATTCCAGATTCAAATAAATTTTTTTCTTTGGCACTGAAGTGCACTCTTCTCTTTTAGCTTTGGTTTCATGTTCTTCTCCACAAAACGCGTGGAAGGGGATCCATTTTGAACCATGATACTTTTGAGAAATAGGAGCTCTTCTTCTAAACAGTCATCGCTACACATTCTTCTGGTACAGTGGGCTAGCGAGATGACGAGAGCTCTTTTATGGCTGATAGGTATCCAACTGTAGAAGTTTGTCAGTTGACCATTCCATGTTGGTTTTCTATCGATAGATCTTTTCAGAGTTCCGTAATCTCTTCTTGTCAATTCAACATCCAGGAATGGAATCTTTGATTCATTTTCAACTTCCACTGTGAATTGTATTGAAGGATGGCAGTTATTAATCTCTTGTAAGATACAATTTAAGTGGGAATCATCCTGACAAACTATAAAAGTGTCATCAACGTATCTTTTGTACAGCAGCAATTTGTCCATTGTTGATTTTAAGATGCCGTCTTCCAGGCTGCTCATAAAACACTCTGCCAAAAGTGGGCCAAGCGGAGCGAGATCCCATAGCAATCCCGTCCTTCTGTCTATAGATGAAGTCTTTGAATGTAAATTGTGAGTTGAGTGTGCACCTTGAAAAAAACTCTTTCAGATATGAAGTTGGTATTCCGATACTCAGATTTTTGTCATCCATATATTTGCAAACAACAACAACAGGCAACAATCAGCATAAATGGAAGGAACCTGAAAGAAACAACCTCTTTTACCTACCTGGGAAGCATCGTTTCAAATACAGGCGGAACTGATGAGGATATTAAAAAAAGACAAGGTTTCACTACTCTCACCAAGTCTGTGTGGAGATCAACAGCACTCAGCATCAAAAATAACATCCGGATTTTCAACTCCAATGTGAAGCCAGTCAGTGCCACTATACGGATCAGAGACTTGCACTGCGCGTCATAGAGAGCATCTCAAACAAACTACAGACCTTCATTAACAGCTGTTTTCGCTCAATGCTGCTCAAGATCAGATGGCTGGCCAGGAAAGATCAGCAACAGGGATCTCTGTCAATGAGCGAACCAACTAGGAACCGATTGTGAAACAAGTAGTCAGGAAGAAATGGAGATGGATTGGCTGGCCATACTCTGAGGAAACAATGCATCAAGTGACATCACTAGACAAGCCATTGCTCGAGTGGAACCCGAAAGGGAAGCGGCGAGTTGGTCGTCAGTGCAAGGGTGACTTGGAGGAGGTCATGTGAAGAGGAGATGAAAACGTGTGGGCAGACTTGGAGCCAGGTGAAGACTCAATGGAGACGCACTGCTGAAGCCCTATGTTCCTCTAGGAATTAAAGGAAACAATAATAATAATTTGCGAAGGAAACAAATTGTGTCTGTGAGTGGCACATTGGTAAATAGAGATTGTACGTCCAGAGATAACATTCGTTTGTCATTTACATTCATTAAATTACTATTTATGCATGTTAATGTGTGAATACCATCCTCTTCTTTTAATTTTTCTTCTGCTACAGACTATCAAATCTTACTTATTCACTTATCAAGTCGTATTAGAATATGCTATCAATATCAACCAGATACACTATTATCCAATTTTCAATCTACACTTATGAAGTATCCAAATGAGAAACACTGTCAATATGCATTAACTTTTCTAGCCACATTAGATTTAGATAACTCCTCTTTTGATGCATTGAAGACAACAGTGAGAGAAGATACAACACCAACACCTCCACCATACTGTAGAATAAAACTACCGAAACATTTTTATAATCGATTAACAGACAGTCTGTGCTCTTATTATTCTATTGATTCAAAAGGGAATACTACTGATAAGTGTTCAACGAGTCGTATTTCACCAGTTGTCATTGGGAAATATCTTTTATCTTGGGTGAGTAGATAATTTTTCACTTTATATATATACAATGTTATTCCTTTGGGTTCTGAGTAAAATAATGGGCTTCAAAACATATCTGCATGTCATGATTAATATATGTGTAAAACTTGGACAGTGCGGTAGTAAGTATTTCCATATGAGTTTGTTTATTAGATATATCACACATTGAAACAGATATTTGGACTTTTGATCATCCTATTGTTCTCCCTTCGTTTTTCCCGGGCCACTGAAGAAAGACTATAACATATTACGGAGGATGTTAAAGGTTGTCAGCAGGGTAAGCAACGTGCCACTTAACCAGCTTGTTAATATTCTGGTTGACAGGCACATGGACTCATGTGAAATATGGGCCAAATCCATTTTATCTAACTCACAAGACCCTCTTCACTCACAACCCTCCCCTTGCATCTCATCAGGCAAAACCAGAAGCCAATATAGAAAACTATATGCTCGCACCAGCAAGTACAAAAACTCAACCATACCCTACTTGGCTCGTGTTCTTTGCGATAAAGAAAGCATTAGGCGTGACACCTATAACTCATTAAATAGTCAGTAGACCTCATCTTTCCAACTCATATCATTTATAGGTATAACATTTTCTTTCTTTCTTTTCCTTTTCTCTCTCTCTTTTCTCTTCTTCTCCGTTATGTGCTGCTTTGTTTGTTTTTTTTCCACTGACGCCAGTAAATATGATAGCTCCTACTTTTCTAACACCTTCAAACACTGTTCCACTTTGGGTTTGCTACCGACATGCCAATATGTTGTTGTCATAATGAACTGAGATTTCCTTAGTCTATGTAGAATTCTATTTATTGATAATGTACTAACTGGATGCAATACTGTAGTAAAAATGCTGAGAATTCGATTCTGTATCACATGTACTGTTTTGGAATAAAGCAAATTATTATTATTATTAAATAGGAGGGGAGAAATAAAACTATTAAACTCAAGTTTCGAAGTCGTGTGATTATAATTGATGATATGAATATGAACAATAAATACTCTAAGTCTCTGAACCATATGTCAGTACTAACTGACTTGAAATTGGTGCTGAAAATCTGAATCTTGTTCTGCATACTGACTGTAGCTTCTGTCTCGCTTTTCCGATCCTGATTCGCTTTGATATCCTCATCCGTACCACCTTTAGTTGAAACGACGATGCTCATATCAGTGAAAGAAGCGGTTTCGATCAACTTTCTTCTATTTCTAGTGATTGGCAGTGCCTTCGCCTCATAATTTACTGTCCAGTAATCCATACTTTGTTACTTAACGAAATTGCCTGAAAAGTTATTAAAATTCAACAACAGTTTAATTGGTGGTCTGTTTTGAGGCCAGTCTGTCCAACAATGCAAACTTATATCTACTGAGTGGAATTTCTTACAAATCTTATGAATTTCTTGATTATTACCTTGGCAGTTTTATTCATAGGATTAGCTAGAACTCAGTGACTCAATATTTCAAGCTTCTGACAATTTACGATATAGCATAACTGCTGTACAGCGTAACCAAGCAACAGTTTGTTATAGACCGTTCAAGAAGTCTATCTAGAAACTATTTACTAATGATGTGTTGATTGAAACTTATTTGAGTGGCTGATGAGTAGTAGGGCGGTTTAAAGTTACATCAACCACAAGGATGCAAAGTCTATGCCCACTACAAATCAACAAAAACGGGTATCAAAACGAAATATTGACATTTTATTCAGTTTACTGTGTGACTATGATTCCACAGTAGAATGATAGTGGTCCTGGCTGGATTCCCAGCTGACTCACTCGTAAATCTTGCCTAGTTTGTTATCAGCTTACAGTAAGCTCGTAAAAGAGGAAAGACTAGCAGCCTGATCCCGTTAAAAACAAACCACTGCTCTACTGAAACTTCAAAATGGCCTTGATACCAAACATTTCACTCGGAACCGAAAGAGTGAGAAAAATGCAATCTATCAAGTGATCAGTATGATGAACAATAATGAAAGGCAATAATAATTGAATCAAATCAAGTCTAACGGTTTAAAAATAGACGAAATGCCTGTTTTAGATTCAATATATAATCCTAATAATGGATTTTAGGGTAAAGTTAAAGAATAGTTATCCTAAGAGTATGAACTCACCAATAACGATGAAATGCTCATTCATACCAAGTTTGTGGGGTCAGATAAATAACACCATGTCTGTATTCACATGATGAAAGAAGTTTAATCAGTATGTCTGATTGGTTTAATGTTAGGTTTAGGGAAAATTAGAGTTAGGTTCACTGTGTGGTCGGGGGTGGGTGCCTTGCGCTGCGCCCATATGACCGGGCGTTTTACATAGCCTCGCCTGAGGAAGTCCTACTCACTGCCTTCACGTGGCGGAGGTGTTTTTCACCAAAGTGAGAGGGCGAAAGCGGATGCCCGGCGCTCTTCACCGGGTTGACTGTCCATTGGATGACAGTCTAGGGGAGATGGCTAAACCCTGATTCCAAACCTCCAACGACTGGCGTATGAAGCTCACTGGAGCTCACCGGCAGACGCATGGAAAAAGGGCTTGTTGGATGTCCTGGATGTCTGGCCCCATTCAAAATGGCGTATGGACCGAACTCCGGCCACCGGCTGCCAATGGATAGTGGACTCCCTGCTCCACTCCTACTGCCTTGTAGGTCACACAGTTGGTTGTGTAAAGGCTAGAGCTGCACTCTCAAACAAAAGGCCGAGCGATTCTGGGGACATCACTCGTACCAAATTCCCATGAAACTTCATGAACTCTCTTACAAACGATTCGAGATGTTCATGTAGCCGGCTCATCCTCCCGTAGGAGATAGCCGAAGTAAAGTAAGTAAGTAAGTAGTCAATCTGTGGAGAGCTTAGGGTAAGTTAGGGGAAGATGATAAATGTTGTTAAAAATACAAATTGGGTTAGTGTAGGGTTCAGTAAATTAGGGAAGGTTGAGAGTTAAGGATTCGAACGTATCTGGTTGTTTTAAAGCGCTTGTTCCCTATGGGTTGATATTTTGTAACTTTACTGATTTCAGAACCTCAAAATATGCCGTACCTATTCATTAGGCAATAGATTTTATGGAGGGAGGGAGGGAGGGTGGAATAAGTTTGTCCGTCAAGAAAAGAGGTATTTCACATCATGTACCAGAAATGTCTAACCATCTGTCCACTTTAAATGAACAGGTGAGAATCAATTAAGCAGCGAGGAAAATTCTTCCTTGTGTAGTTAGGACTCGAACTAGTGGCGTCTAGAACAATGACAAAACACTAATATGAAAAATTCAGGCTTTTATTTAACTATATCATAACCAAAAGTCAGTTATCTGACTGATTGACTGAGTGAATTTCAACACAAAACTTCGCACAGAAGGGTATTAGTTGGAGTTGCCACACCCCATGTATTACAAAAAGCTAAAGAAAGAGAAAACATGAAGTTTTAATAGACCTGGGTGATTACAAGTGAGTAAATGTATCCGTGCCGGTGATGAGTACTGTTTTGAGTCATATCACCAGTAGTCTTAAGCCATTGGTTCTTAACAATCTGAGTCCCCCTGACCAGAGAGAAGTTCACACTTCTCTACGTGTCTCAAACCACATGTTAGTTATTTGAAATCTAGCTGATTCAATATTCAACTTTGTGACTAATATAAATGATACTATAAATGCTATGAGTGTTTGATGTAATTGTGTTCTCTGAGCTGGATAGTTAATTTGCGGAGATTTCATTACCTTACTACTAGGCAACATATTCGGCGCATTCTTCAATGTGTTGAAGTGAGCTTTTAGATTTCTCCACGAATTGATTAGTCATCTCTCCTGGTGGGTGACTTTGAACGTGATTGCTTGTTTTGGAGTGCTTTTACACCCTCTAGGCTACTTGTGGTACTGGTACTGATTATTTCCTTGACTTGGAGTTTGACCATTCGTGTGTGAGATTTCCTTCTTTTGTCTATCTCGATGTGTCTATTAATTGCCGCTTCTCACTGGAATACCAGGCTTCGAAAACCATTTTCTAGTATTCTTGGTGTTTCCTCTGTCTGTCTAATATTTGAACTCTGGTTGTCCCAGTTGAATTGATGTCCATGGTTGTCTGTATGTAGTAATTTGAGGGACCAAATACTGAATTACAATTGCAACAATCCAATAACACACAAAAGGAATTATATACAAACACTATTCAAGAGGGCCAGCCAGGGCTCATTGCAGCACTCCCACCTCAAGGAAAATTGAAGAAAGATATCTCATGGACGTCTTCCAAAAGAATGGATATCCATGGACAGCCTATCAAATCAAAGGCTTCCAAGGAAAGAACAAAGAAAATCACCCTATCATACATAAAAGACATCTCAGAAATCACTGCAAGACTCTTCAAACCTTTAGGAATTGACGTCGCACACAAACCAACAAAATCACTTCACTCAGCTGGTTCTTTGTCAACCAAACGACTCAACAGCGAAAGAAGATAAAGCCAATATTATCTACAGAATAAATTCAAACAGCTGCGAAAGAAACTACATTGGTCAAAGTGGACGTCCCCTTTGTTTTCGTATCCATTAACGTAAACTAGTCGTCAGAAGACATGACATCTACTTCCCCACTCACATCACTGCATACAGACAACCATGGACATCATTATGACTGGGACAACCAGAGTTCAAATATTAAACAGATAGAGGAAACACCAAGAATGCTAGAGAATGGTTTTAGAAGCCTGGTATTCCAGTGAATCATCAATCAATAGACACATCGAGATAGACAAAATTCACCAGTCGATAAGAAGGAAATCTCACACACAAAGAGTCAATCTTCAAGTCAAGGAAACAATCAGTACCAATACCACAAGTAGCCTAGAGTAGGGGGTGTGAAAACACACGAAAACAACCAATCACGTTCAAGGTCACCCACCAGGTGAGATGACTAATAAACTCGTGGAGAAATCTAGAAGCTCACTTCAACAAATTGAAGTATGCGCTGAATATGTTGCCTAGTAGTAAGGTAATGAAAGCTTTGCAAATTAACTATCA